GGCAGCTGGATGCTAAACTCAAAGATGGCGCCTATTCACTGGCACAGAAATTGTTTGTGTGATGCATCAGCTAAGAAACCTTTTCAACCCCCAGGTTTGCTTCCTCACTATGTGGCCCACTGCACAAGCACATTAGTGTTTCCCCTGCCGGTCACGCCTTCAGGTTCACGTTCTTGAATTGGCAGCAAGGCCGAGAGCAGACCCAGGCCTTTTGAAGGTAAAGTCAGAGATTCTTCTTCCAATGCATTTTTTTGTCAAATTCAGGAAATATCTCTTCATGGTCCATTAGTTGTCCATTCTGTGCGCGATGACAAAAAAAAATTCCAGGGTTTGTACACAGCCCTGGGTCTGTAAATGAGAAACGAACAAAGCTGCTCGGGCCAATTCACACAGCAACACCAGAGACTTATAAAGGTAGAGACTCACCCCTTAAAAAGTTTCTGAATAGAAATCTGTGACAGAATTCCTTAATGCCAAAGTTCTGTAGTGTTGTGAACATGTGTAGCAGAGGAATATTAAAAATAAATAATTATTTTGTGGTAAAGTCACCAAGGTTTTTAAGCAGTTTGTTTCATTAGATTGGACTGTTGATTGTACAACCCAGCAAACAGACTGTGACAAAATGAGTTTTCATTAACCTATAAAGAACAATCAGTGGTGTAACTGTAGATGTACTGTTGTAGGGTGGTGAGAGGTGGTGGGACGGTACAGCGAATCAAACCAAATGATGGCAAATATGGCTGCAGTCACAAGCAGGATGGAAATGTAGACGGGAACATGATCTTGTTAGCCTGAATTTACTGCCTGTAGGTGTTACCAAGATGGCTGCTGGGTGGCTGGATTTACTCTAGAGGGACTTTGAACCTATTCCAGCGTGTGACCTACTTTCATTGGTGCATATGAACAGATATGGGGGAAAGTAGGAGGAGAGAGGGACAGTAAATCTGTACATGCTAACAAGGTAAATATGCACAGTCTGTTTGGAGTGAGCTCCTAATTTGCAGGAAGTGGACCCGAAATGCGATGAGGGAGACAGGTAACAATGATAAGAAGGTTTGTTGCAGGACAGGAGTGAGGACACCAAGGAAGCAGGAGGGGGGAGTGCAGGTGCATGCTGGTCTTCGTGGAGGAGGTGAGAGGGTATCCAGGGACTCCCGTGGTGTGCTCCAGGGGGGATGGTGCTCGAGGCGCGTGAAACCAGTGGAGAGGAGAACCGAAGGGCTGCTGCTGGTGGCTGACTCGTGACGGCTGGGCTGGGGAGGACGTCAAGCTGAGGAGGCTCTGAGGAAGGCGAGGAAAACGAGAGAGTGAGTTTACAGCTGTGAACAATAAGCATGAGAACTAGTTGTGGCCGATCTACTGCTCAAAGCAGAGTGAATCGTCTGGTGCTGCATCACAGGGAGAAGCCGGCTTAGGAGCTGTGCTGATTGTGATGAGGGACAGGTGGGGTGGAGAGTGAATGAGTCCTCCTCGGCCATGGCCCCACCCAGCCTGAAAATACAAAGCACACAGCAGCACAGCAAAAACACACACAGGAAATAGTACTACCGAAACAAAGGTTCTAGACCAGAACCCCAAACACATTCTTTCTACAGAATCACAGACTCAACCTTTTTTACATCCACATGTCAATTGGAAGCCTGGATCAAGTATTAAGAAAGTATTGCTGCTCAGCTTTGCTTTGCTGCCGCTTTGTCCCATTGGTCACTCATAGTGCCAAAAGAAAAATACAGCCCAAAAGTTTTCCCCCTTTGACCACTGATATAAAGGAGATATCTAACTATTAACAGGACACCTCTTTCTGCAACCAAATCACATTTTTACACCCAAAAGTCGTTTAATTTTTGTTACATCATATTGATGTTTTATACAGTTGAAACCAAAAGTTTACATGCCCTGTATGAAAAGACATAAAACTAAATCTCAAGTCATCATCCAGGAAGTTAAAGCTTGGGCGCAAATGGGTCTTCCAAATGGACAATGACCCTAAACATACCTCTAAATTAGTTACAAAGAGGCTTCAGGACAACAAAGTCAATCTTTTGAAATGTGGCTATCACAAAGCTTTGGTCTCAATCCTGTAGAAAATTTGTGGACAGAGCTGAAAAGGTGTGTGGGAACAAGGCAGCTTACAACCCTGACTCAGTTCCACCAGTTCTGTCAGGAGGACTATTGTGAGAAGGATACCCAAAATATTTGACCTAAGTCATACAGCTTAAAGGTTTAAATGCTACCAAATACTAAGGAAATGTATGTAAATGTCTGACTTTAAAGAAAGTAGTAAAAAAAATCTTCAACCTTTTTTTTTCTTTTTTTTGGTTTTTGTTAATTGGAATCATTTTTGTTATTCTTACTTGCCTTCCACCGGGAAAGTTTTGTTTTGTTTTATTCGGCGGCGGGGAAAAAAAGGTTATCTGTCTTTTTATGTAAACTTCAGGTTTCAACTGTATATAGGCTGAGTGGAAACTAGGCCAGTGGAGAGCACATGCAGTAGACGGTACAATGCGAAAAATAACCTGGAAGCTTGAAAACTCTTCTGGCTCATGCATCATTTGAGGTTTCACACGAGTCAGGAATCAACTCCTTAAACATTGTAGGTAAATGGACGGAGGAAAACAGTGTTGGTTGGTTTGTTCTTGTCCAGTACTGTATAGTATGTCAGAAAAATATTTAGTATGTCACAATGTGTAGCATGTCCAATGCAATATGTCAACAATCCCAGGATATCCTACTAAATTTAATCACATTTTGTCGTATGTCGGCCTGCATGCTTTGCTGGACATTCTGATTCACAATCCTTTGTGCAGCAGAATATACGTTACATACGTCAGTGTCTCACTCAAGTAAGAAGCTTGACCTGCCCAGGGCACAAAGATAGCTGACAGCTCATTTCACACTTCAGACTGCAATAGATATATGAGCATGACAGTCAAAGCTTAAAGCACAATATCATGATGTAGTATGTTGGGACATACTATGAATACGCACTGCCTGCAACAGTATGAACTTTGTGTAGGCAGCTGTAGTATATACTGGATGTAAAAAGGAAGTCAAGAAAGAAAGTATGTAAGTTTAAATGTAGACTTTGATTTTGCGCAGTACTTTAGCATGATACTTTCAACTGATTATCTATCCATCCTTTATCTATACACCATTTAATCCTCAGTAGGGTCACAGGGGGAACTGGAGTCTGTCCCAGCTGACTTTGGATAAAGCCAGGGAACACCCTGGACAAGCTGCCAGTCTTTGACATGGGTACATATAGAGAGACAACCAAGCACACTCCCATTGACACCACTGGAATGACCAATTAACCTCAGCATGTCTTTGGCCTGTGGGAGATCGCTGAAGAGAAACCATTCAGGGAGAATATACAAACTCCACACAGAAAGATCCCTGCAATGCAAACTAGGGATCTTCTAGCTGTGAAGTGACAGTGCTAACCACTGCACTAGTACAGTACTGTACAGTAAAGACCTCAGCATTGTGGTTTCCACGTCCGTGAGGACACAAGGATCTGCTTGATGTAAATTTCATCATCTGCCCAAGTCTGTGCTAGCCTGTGTGGACATTTCTGCTGACCTCCATGTGGAACCCAAAATGTGTGTTTCCTCTGCAAGGGAATGCATGGGATATGTAGATGCTGACGTACTGCAATCTTCATATTGCTTTTGTACTTCTGTATGGAACAGAGTCTCCCAGGCAGGCTCCAAGTAGACAAGAAAGTAGTATAACTGCAACAACTATGCGTCTGTGGTGTCCACAGCTGTTTGTGTGCACGTCTGCAATGGAGTATCATCAAGGCTTAATTCATACAATAGGTTTACATTATTATTGTGTACCAGGTGGCAGGAAAATATTGTGTATATATTCTTGAACTCTCTGAAACTAACGGTTTCAATACAGGCAGATGAACAGGGCAGGATGGATCGCTAACACATGAGGGGCGTTAGATGTCATCTCAAACTAGGAACTCAGTGATGCTGAAAAGGACTCTCCCAGTATGAGTATCTGATGCCGTCTGCGCCTGCACTTCAGCAGATGACATTATTTTGACTCCTGGAAGGATGGAGCACTGCAGAAATGGCTCCCAAACAAACAAAACTCAGGGTGGGGCGGTAGAGTCACAGAGTGTGAAGTCCTCAGTCATCTGATGTCACTTCCAGCAGCTGTGGTCAGTCTGGAGGCTGGCAGGCTGACCTGACTGATATCAGTATCACATCTCCTTTCATTGCTGGACTCCAGCTCCTGACAGAAGCCAAAACAGAAAACAGTTGTCACACACTGACCTGCGGAGATGCTTTCTTCAGTGTGATAGAGGAAAATAAATTTTTTTCATTGTATTAGTCAGAAAGGCAGTAATTGGTGAAGTTGAGTTTGTTAAAAGAAATAAAGTTGTTCTCGAAGTTGAAGAATTGACAGAAATCGTTAGCCTCATAGCATAATTGCCTAAGTCATTTTTTTGGTCAAATTGAGATATTTGCCTAACTTTACTCTCCTATCACTTCTGCATCATCCTGTCTTTCTACCTATGTCATTGGCCAATCACATCTGGTTGAATGCACTGTTAAAAAAATCAATAATAAATACCAATGTCATTTCTAAAAATTGTGTTTTTTCTCATTTCCCCAAAACATGAAAATATGACTTAGGCAAGTATGCTATGAGGCTAACGAAATTACACCAGCAGTGAAGAAGTTAACAAGGAAGTATTTAAGCATCTTGAATTAACTGAGAATGAACCGTGAAAATTATGGGGTTAAGAACAGAGAGGGTTTACAGTTAAAACCAGAAAAAAGAACAATATCTTGTTTCATTAATTAAACAGAATTCTAAATAATAAAACAATGCATGTATTTTGAGGATTGTAACTTTTTTTCTTACAGTTTCTATGCCTACATGACGTTATTATTATTTTAAACCTTTTATTATGCGGTCGTGTTGCTGTCATGTGCTGTCCCTTTGGCTCCATATACGCATGCGCGTCACGGAAGCAGCAGTCAGTTCGAAAGCAAGCGAGGGAAAATAAACCAAACTCCAGTAGCCGTGAGTTTTCTTCTTTAATTTCTGGCGAGGAGTAAAATGCTTCTTTCTAATGACTAACAAAGATTGACTTTGGTCTTTAAAATATCTCTAATACAACATGCTGTTTATTAGTATGTAGAACTTTGAGGACTGGTAGTTTGACGCCACTCACAACTTTGTTGTCCTTGATAAGCAGCGGGCGTGGCCAGACCCTATAGAAAAATCCTAATGTTTTGTTTTGCATTGCTTACTGACAATTCTGCACACCGTGTAAAGTATGGTTTTTGACGTTTTAATAATCTGTAGGTTCTACGTTAAATTTCGGCTGGTATTCAAATTCGCAATATAATTCTTTCATTCATAAAATTACGTCTTTAGTGATGGGTTTGTAGGATATCACAGTCTTCTTCGTTCCCTGAATTAGGCTACCCTCTACTGCTTGCAGTCAAAGAGAAATGTTGAAATATTATTAAAGTAACGTGCTGCAATATGTATTGCATGTTTGCCGATCTTACCAATATAGTATATATATTTATCAACACGGGTTTGGTAACTTCTATGTTTTGTTTATGCTTGCTGAGAATCAATCACCTTTAAACCGAAAGATTTTGAATGGAGCTCGGCATAGCAAAATGTATCTCGTTCGTTAAGCTTTCCCCGTTCCCCATTGTTTAGATAGGCGAGTATAGTTAGTGAGAAGTGTGGAATTGTCAATGATCAAGTGCTAAAACGGTTGTGTTTTCGTGTTACACAAGAGGCTAGCGAGGCGGCTCTCCGGTGGTTGTGTTTGCTGTAGCTTGCTAACTAGCTAAGACTGAGCTTCCTGCGTGTTAGCCAAACCTTAAATTACTAATGTGAACTAACGCACAATAGCTGTGGAGACGAAAGCTGATATCTGGGGGTGTGTGTTGTCACGGTGCATGTTAGTTGTTTATTATCCCACATAGCTACACAGACAGACACGGAGGGTGACAGGTGGACCTGTAGAGCTGGTACTGGATAATACTTGAAGATGGTACGCACTTGTTTTTGTGGCCTGTAGCGGTTTTGATCTGTTGGGCGCTTATAAACAGCATTTTGCTGCACTGGTGTCTGATAGCACATTCCACCAACGTAGCAACGGTTTTACTATTTCTTTGTCACATTTTATTGAATAGCGAGTTGTTGCTTGCATAAAAAATGCCAAGTCTTTGGTGCTTTCCTGTCACATATCACTCCTGACTGATTCTGACACATGCTGCCTGATGTTTGCCTTAACACTCTTCTGACAGTATTCATGTGAGGAGGAACTGCTGCCTAAGCCCTCTGCATGTGTTATTCACACATGTATCAATAGTGAGCAGTGGAACATGTGAGTAGAAATCATCAGATGTCTGTGGTGTCTGATGATGCCTGTGGGGAATGGTATCTGTCACAAATCACACATTTTGTGCCATACGCGTCTATTTCTTGAAGTCACACACAGTACCACAGAATTTTCGTTGGACATTAGGCTGCTTTTAATCGTAGTAACTTGTTGGCCATTTTCGGGCAGCCTGAACCTCTACACCACTACGGTAGAAGCTTTTTAATTAAGGACCGTTTTCGGGGGAGCAAACAGCGCTTCGCCCCAAATAGCGTATATAGAGGTAGTCACAGAGGGCAACAAGCATCATTTTTCTGCCCTCTTGATGTCCTTGCTTTGTCACAGTTTTCTGCTTTCTAATCCTGCTCTCATAACATAAAATTCAACATATGGGTTAACATAACATAGCTCCATTATTATATTATCTACATGCACATAGACCTGAAGTTACGCCCTCTACGTAAGAGCTGTTTTTGTTTTGTTTTATTTTGAGTTAAGATAATGGGCAAAACTGTGAACTGTACATTGTAATGGAAACAGAAAGGCTGGAGGGAAGATTACGGTGCCATTCCTGTAAAGTTTTGTGCCACCTTGTGCCTATACCTGCCTTGAGTTCCTGCCATGAAAACCACATATTAAAGCAAGTGTGATGCACCACCACCCACTGGTAGGATTTGGCCTCACTAGCCTGAGGAACTAATCTGTTCCACTTGTGATAGATGTGTCTGTTGATTCAGCATATTAGCGTCTAGTATAGGTTTTAGTTTACTGATCGAACACCAGATGTTTTAGAGTGAATTTGTCGCCCACTACCATTTTTGGGGTTCAGTGTTTGCTGTAATCTGATGTATCAGTCAGACCCTTGGCCCAGTATCATGTAACGCAGGACTTAAACCATATTAACTTCACTCCAAGTAAATTCTTTAAATGTAAGAGTGAACAGTCAGTCAGCGAGCTCTGAGCAACTGGAGCAGAGAAAGCCATCACTGTTAGCTACAGAGGTCTCAGCCATAATAGACCTTTAAAACTTATTTTGTTCTGATTTCTTTCACTTCCTTTGCTGAAATAGGTTGTGATTGTATTGGGAAACAGCCCTGGTTGTTTTTATTGCTGACATTTTTTGAGGTGCTGCTTGGCTAATCAGATGAAAGGACAAAACAGTGGGAACCAACATCTCTGATAATTCATTTAGCTGTTTTATAACATTTCTTTTTGGGCAAATTGTTGGAAATTGCATCACAGACTCCTATTTTTTTGGACTTTATAAATCCTGTTTACATTTCCGAATTGATCTATTTATATGATTACCAGTCATGTTGCTACAATGCAGTGTTCTTCTCAGAATCCTTGTGTCTGTGCATTCGTGTTACTTTGACCCATACCAACCACCTAAACATTGTTGCAGACCAAGTGTGCATCAAGACCAACAATGCATCTTGCAACAACACAAAAGTTGCTCAAGGAACATAACAAAGAGCCTAAAGCGTTCTTCCAGATAAGTTAAGCTGAAGGATTTCTAAAAGTGATTTGTAAAGTAAGATTAACTTTAACACTCTGTTCTGACAGACATGTCTTTTTAGCAAAGACACAGTTTGCATGAACTGAATGAAAAGCACAGCCAATGCCACAAATCAGGGCCTGGAGCCTATCCCAGCTGACTCGGGGTGAAGACAGGGGACACCCTGGACAGGTCACCAGTCTATCACAGGGCTACACTTAGAGACAGACAACCAAGCACACTCACATTCACACCTACGGAAAATGTAGGATCACCAATTAACCTCAGCATGTTTTTGGACATTGTGGGAGGAAGCTGGAGAACCTGGAGAGAACCCACACAATCATAGAGAGAACATACAAACTCCACACAGACAGATCCCAGGCCCAAGCCAGGAGGCGAACCAGCCCCTATTTAATGTGTAAGAGGATAGTTTAAACCATCATCCAGTAACTGCATTGATGATGATGTCAGGAATAAATAAACTAAAGCCAGTGCTTAGCAATTTGTCAACCCATTTCTTCAGAAACCCTGTGCTGGGGGCAAAAAAAAATAAATGCATGAAGAGCTACCTGATGTTACTAATCATCCTTTGTCTCAGTTCACTGATCATTTAGCTTCTGGAGTCTCCTCTCCAGTGCTCCTCCTGTGTGGAGCTGCAGACCAATATTTATGAGTGTACTCACCCTGCCTCCACCTGCCTGCAAGAGCTAAAAGTCCCTCATGCTTTTGAAGTGCTGCCCACTTGCTGTGGGATAGATCACACAATGCGTGACCCTGGTGACCTCCTGCTGGACAGCTGTATGAGTGGGTGAGGACCTTTTACTTTCATGTGGCTGTGGCATCCTGGTATTTCTCCTTTTTGCCTTGGTGGCTGCTGCATTAAAGAGATCGCCTGCCACTTTTTGTCACCCTTTTCACCTAAAAAAAATTGTCAGTTGGAGTAAAAGAAGCAAGTCCAGACTCTGGCGGGTTTCCATCTGAAGAGGCTGAAAGAGCAGAGTGAATTTGTCCAGCAGGAGGCTGAGATACCAGCATAAGTCAGTTCTACATAAAAACCAGACTGAAAAAGGACAGTGTATTGACGGCTATGCAGTGATACTCATACACAACACTGACAGCAGGTTTGGCCAGCTGTAATGCATTTGTCTTTGGCAAACTTACTCAGCTGTAGCCAATTGATGTTAATTCTGTGACTTTGCCAAAACACGTGATGAAACCTTTATCGTCCTGTATGATTTTTGTGTTTGGAAAGATGGAAAGTGGACTACATATATCAGAAGGAAAATATCCCAACTGAAAATATGTAGGGTGTTAGGGCTGTGTAGTGTCAGTATGTCATGAGAACTGATAGTCTGGGCTCAAGTCAAGGCCAAAATTCTGAAAATGTGACAGTATTTAGTTGTCTTATAGCATGGAATAGGGATGTCACAATACCATATCATACCACCGAAATTGTATGAGTCTTGATACTAATTCTGAGAAAAAAAAAAAAGCAAAAAATAAAATAAATTCAAAAAAAGGAGGGGTTGTAGTTTATCATCAACTTTTTCAACTGAAAAAAAAAACAACTTTGGAGGAAGCTTTTAAATAATCAACAAGACGTGACTGCTATATATTTCTGGTGGTACAGCATTTCTATTGCAGCGCCTATCTGCTTGGTATAAATGAAAATAGAAAGTAGCCTAGGTATAAAAAATATATGCAAAAACATGAACCAACACAGTGGCATGTAGCCTTCAAGTATTTAAAACAAGCAGTACTGTTTTATTAAAACACAAGTTTACAAGTAAAGTACAAGTTTCCTTGTAATGGCTTTTATTTGAGTTTCTGTCACATTTTCTGAGCCACTGCACGGCTTCAGTAGTTGGCCTTGTGTGTTGTTCTGTTTGATGTACTCTCCTAAAATTCGGTGTACAGATCCAGATGTCTGGTTTAGAGCTGCTTAAATAGGTTTGGAGTGTTTCCTCCCACACATTACAAATGTGATACTTTCTGCATTCTGACTTTTGGACATCTTTAACTTGTCCGTGAATAATAAATCTAATACTATAGATCTCCTTACACAACTTACCTACACAACTGGGATGTTTTGTTCTGACAAGTCTACTGCTAATTGCTCCACCTGGACTGGCCAGTTCCTTCTGGAAAAATCACAGTCTCCAGTAGGCTACATGA